GCATGCAGATAATTAAAGAAAATGTACCAAACTTGATGTAGATTCTTTCTTTGTTCATGTCAATGGAGATTATATATACATGTATATGTAAAAGCTATAAGGAACTAACTTGTTCTGTTCATGGGCATAATTCAAGGGGCTGCTTTGAGGTGTATGAAGAGGACTAGTATGGGATGTAGTTAATCTTGGTTTTAAGTTTTGGCTAACCACCAAATTGTTATATTGCACAAAATAATTAATTTAATTACTTTGGGTTTTAGTTTCTTTATTGGTTAAATTCATCTTAACTACTCTATAGGTTGTTACCAAAAATCACATAAGGAGTGTTAACAGACTTTGATTATTATTACTACTTGTGTTTAAGATTTCTTGAATGAAAAATCAGAACAGAAATTCTCATATAAGAATAAATGAGTAGATTATTTGAGTAAAATATTTTCAAAATGTATCAGTTCTAATTTAGCACTGCATTATAAGCATTTTCACCTGGCACTTAATTAAAAGAAAACATAGGCATTTTTAATAAACAAAAACAGGGACATAATTTTTTATCATCGTTATGATTCTTTAAAATAGATAAAAAATTCAATGCACTTGAATCTGAAAGGCTTTTGCAAAACTAATCAAACAACCTTCTAAGAAAGGATTTCTTGGCAGGAGTCAAGATTTTCCCAGAACCTTTTTTACGGAGGGATTTCATTGGAGGCTTTTTTAAGGGTAGGACTCTTTTGGGGGTTTGTAGTGCTCTTGCAATCCCCACATGCTCATTGCAGTAATACTTGTTGCTTCCTGCTGACAGATGGATGAGTGTGCGTTCTGCCAGATCCATGCACTGGGCATGGACCCAGTGCCCATCTCCATGGGAACAGTAGATCATGGCAGGTTTGTTGAGCTCAGTTGAATAGAATGGTACCCAAGTGTTGATATCCACCTCACAAGTAGGGCAGCATGTAATCCAGTAGCCTGTCTCAGACTCATCTTCCTCATCATCTTCATTATAGGTGTCAAATTCATCATCACCATCAAAACTACATGCTTCTGCACTGAAGCAAAATTCTTCTGAGTCTTCAAAGGGAGTAGAGTCCCCTGGATCTTCTGTTGATGTCTGACTATTTGTGAATGTTTTCTGATCTTCATTCACATCGTCTTCAGCACATTTCAACATATAGAAATAGAATGCTTCTGAAACAGCTTGTTTATTGTCTCCTGGTATACCAAGGAAAATAGTTCCATTTCCCATATTGCTTCCAAACCATATCTTGCTGTGTTTAATGTCTGGGGTCCAATCTGGGGTCTCCATCTCACGAATTTCTATTTTGTTGTCCTCTAAAGAGACAATGTTGCAGATCATTCTTTTTTGATTTTCAAGCTGATAGCCACCAACAATAACAAATTCATCATTGTTAATTTGAGTCAGGATTGCACTGGAGACAGAGATCCCTCCTGGTAAGACTGTGCAATTAATAGCTGGGCTACCCAAGGGAAGGTCAACCCTTATTCTGTACAGGTTGGCAGGGCGGATGTTATTGGAAAGTGAATGTCCTCCTAAAATATAGATGGTATCGTTTCTGGCAATAGAGACATGAAAAGATAGCCCATCCTGAAGTTCTGGAAGAATATATGATGTAGCACACCCAAATTCAAAATCCACTAGGAAAACATGGGGCAGGCAGTCAGCTACACTATTCCATTTTTCTGTGATTCTTTGGGTAGAAGGCATGTATGACCGTCCTCCAAAGAGAACACCCATACTTTTCCCTCGACTATACACCACATCAACAGAATGACCATATCTGGCTTCAGGAACATCTCCTACCAAGTCTTTCTCCGTGCAGCGAAAAGTAACTTTTTTGTTGTTCTTGCAAACAACAGACATGACATAAATCTTATCTGAAAGCTCATTGTTTGGTGTTTTCCCTCCGTGGATGATATACTGATGCTTTTCAGACTCCAAGCTACCTTTGACCATGCACGTGGCTGGGTAGCGAAGAGGAGGAAGGTAGCAGGAATCCTTAGAGAAAACTGCAGGTTTCAGTTTGAGATGGTTATGCTTTACATCAAAATGGAAAACTCCAGTGGGGCAGGATCTCTTGGGCCAGCCTTTTTGGCCAAAGAAGAAAACTTGCCCATCAAAATTCATCAGTGAGAAGCCTGGTTGAATTAAGGCCATGTTGTTACTGACTGTTACCATCTGCAGTGACATATTTTCTAATCGTGGGTTGATCTTTTATCTGAAAGAATTACAAAATAAAATGACTTAGAGTATCTCTTCATATAAATCATCGTATTTAGAGTCCCTCACATGTAAAAAGCAAGTTTAAAGAAAAAGTCCTCCCACAAGCTTACAGTGGGACCGAATGAGCAAAATCCAGGGAATTCGGCCAGCAAAGATCCACAGAACCTTCCTGCCTAATACCTATCCAAGCAGCTGGGACATGTTTTAGAGATGGACTATCTGCCCTTAGATTTCCGGGAATTGTAGTCCTTTTCCCTAAAGAGTTGTACCGCGCGTCAGCCCAAAGAACTACATTTCCCAGGAATCCGTTCCCTATGGGGATGTGTAGCTACGGATAATTTGTCTTTGTTGCTTCAGGAAAGGAGCCTCCTAGGATGTATGTGAATAAAGACGCCAAAGGTGCGAAGTAACTAGATGGGAACCAAGGCGAAACACTGGGGAACGGGAGGCGAGAGTGGCTGCATTAACATCCGGGTTACGGAAAGGTTACAGCACCCGGAGCGTGGTGTCGGGCAACCCCTTGTCTGGGTGCTGCTGCAGCCTCTCCTGGGGACTCTGAAACAGGTGACCCGGTAGGAACTGCTTCTGCCCGAGAGCGGTTGCCTGGAAACCGCAGTCTGAAGGACGCCGCGGCAGAGGTGTCGTTACGGACTCCTGCCTGGACGCTTTGGAGCGCAACTCAGAATTGAACCGCTGAGGCTCCTTGGGTTGCTGGGGCAGGGAGTGGAAGCGGGTTGCGAGGTTACAAAAGCAGTGACTGTCTTGCAGAACCAAAAGACGAGTCCCTGAATACCTAGAGTGCAGGAGAGAAGTTGCGTGATAGCGATTTTTACCATTCCTACTTTTAGTAAATGGAAATACAGTTACTAGACTTTTGTAAGTGCCACTTAAAGGTCCTTTGTTTTCTTTACTGCGTTTATTTCTGTTTTTAGAGTTCTTTTAGGGAAGCAGAGAACCTTCCTGAATACAGCTCCCCTTCTTCCCTATTCTAGGAAAATAGAGTTAGTGGCAGTTGTTTCAGATCTCTTTCCGGCCCAAGAACTTTGAGGTAATTCTTTAATAATTCTGTAGTAAGCAGGCACTAAGCAAAGAAGTGTTAGAATTATTCAGAATTTCATATTTGTATTATAACAAAAAGGGTATTTACCAGATGAAGTTAGCCTGATAAATTATTTTGTTATTACCTACCTGAGAGAGATGTGAAATACACTCCCAGTTTGCAGTGTAAGTCCTAGGCACCAAATGTTAAAGGAAACAAAGCAGTACAAATTCCTTGACTTTTAAGAGTAAATAGTTAATATACTTCAAAAGTAGTATAAAATAGTGGCTAAGAGTATGGATTCTGAATACTGATTGGCAAGATTCACATCCTGTGTCACTAACTACATGACTTTAGGCAAGTTATTTAACCTCTCTGTGCCTCAGTTCTCTGATCTGAAAATTAAGATAATTTTACCTATCTCATATTGATGTCAGTTGTGATTAGTAATTTTTTTTTTTTTTTTAAGAGACAGTGCCTTGCTCTGTTGCCCAGGCTGGAGTGCAGTGGCTCGATCATAGCTCACTGCAGCCTCCAACTTCTGTGCTTAAGTGATTTTTAACGCTTTGGCTTTCCGAAGTGCTGGGATTATAGGTGTGAGCCACCGTGCCTGGCTTGATTAGTAATTTAATACATGTAAAGCACTTAGAACAGGATTTCTCACACAGTAAACGATAGTTGTTATTATAATTATTCTTGAACTTACCAAAAGTAAGGTTGTTAGTGCACAATAACTTGCCAGTAACTTGCTGGTATTTAAAGTGTCGGAGGGGATTAGAAGGGGTTTTAGGATCTGGAAACCAGGTCAACGGGTATAGATGTATAAACTTTTGAACTAATAAGTGGATAAATATATATGATGAGGGTACTGGTGGTGATTTCAATTTAATTAACAGATAATTCATTTTTCTTGTTGCCCTTTCTCTAACCCTAATTAAATATGCAGACTGTGAAGTTGGATTCTCTGAGTCCAAATATGGGCTACAGCACTTAGTTGCTGTGTAACCACCTTGGGCAAATTATTTTTCTGTCTATTCTTTTTTATCTGCAAAATGGGGGTAAATTAGTACCTATTCATTGGTTTTTTTTGAGAAATAAATAGGATAGCACATGTAAATCACATAGCACAGTGCCTGGCACATAAGTACTCAATAAATGTTAGTTGATGCTATGATTTATTTTTATTCTTCCTGCAAAGGTTCCTTGGACCACTTGGTCACTGTAATGAGGTGTTTTGTTTTCCCTTGAAGCACTTCTGTAGATCAGGTGTAATTAATAGCTAAATAATCTCTTGTACTTATGATTTTCAGTTTTACTTGGGAGATTCCTCAAGGCGTGATCTTTTAGCAGTCATCTTCTGGGTTATTAAACAAAATGAGGAAATGGTGACTGGGAAGGATTATTACTAAAGTTGTGAAAGTAAGCCTCTCTCTTCCTCAGACTTTGGTTGTTTGTGGATTCAGCAACTTGCCCTGCTTGTGAAATAACCTGGGCAAGTGTTTTATTTATTCATGGCCTATCCACCAAGTCTACATAAGAGAAGGGATTTTGGCTTCTTGTAAATGAAAACATGATTATTTTAGATTAAACAGAAACATTTTCTTGGGCAAAACAGAAGGAGGATTGCCCATTTTTGTAGCTTAGTCTAGGTCCCTAAAGATTTTTGGAGTAGGGTTTTTGACCTGTTCTCCCTTTGACTCTCTGTTCTTGGTTCACTTCATAGTATCTGGGCCCTAAAAACAGTGGTAAAGTTTACAATTGCTCAGAGGAGTTACCTCTTCTTGAACACAGTTCAAGTGTTTGTGTATTTAATTTTTAGATTACCCATTTTAAGCAGATGATATATATATATATATATTTACAGAATCAACAGGAACATTGAAAGTGTTTTCACATTATTTTGCCTTTACCGATTTGAATATTTCTTCACTGGAGTAGTCTATTGCATCTCTCCCATGGTTTTAATATGACTATATTAGTCACATCTTGGTTTTTAAAATGAGTTTTTAAAAGATTATACTAGATCTAAAATAACCTACTGAAGTGTTTTTCTTTAAATAGGCTAGATAAAAACAGACAGATTTTTAAAAATAAGATACTGTTCTTCAACGGAGGGAAGTTTCAAAGTCAACACATTAAAGATTCTTTTTAAAAGACAGAAATATAGGACCAATAAACATATACAATTTTCCCAACCCCATGCTAACATTTCTCAGCAGGGAGATTTTCATTTATTCACTGTGAAGCTAGGGCACAGTTGAGTATGAAAAGAGGACTAATGGTATGAGGTCTGGGTTTGTAGTTTCCTGTGTTTGAACTGACTTTCTTTTTTCCAAAGAAAGATATTGTACTCTGAAGCATTAAATCTTGCTGATCAGTGCTGCCCATGTTTTCTTGATTGCTCCAGAATAGCAGGTAACCTCATGTAATTGCAGATATTTAGTGCATGAATTAACACTATCTTGCATGGTTAATCAGGTTTGAGGCATACATTATTTAATTTTTGCTGGCAGTAAAACCAAGATTAGGTCTTCCTTCCTATACTTATCCTAGAGAAGGATTTATGTACAATAAGGGAAATAATAATGCTTTGAAGGCCTGGGAATTAAATCCTTGCAGCAGCCTGAGAACAAAAAGTCCCACGTTTTCCAAATTCTACATCATCTCTTTCCTATCTAGACACCCAATCCACCTGTAACTAACAGGTTGCCAAAGTGTGGCAGCATCATTCCCTTAAAGTTTACAAACATAGGATCCCATCTTTTAGCTTTGGTAGAAATGAAGGTATTGGACCTACCTGAAGGCCAGAGGGGCTGCTTACCCCTCTCTGAATCTTTGCTGCTAAACCGGGTATTAAATGTCAGCACTCGGGAAAGATTCACTGACTGCCCACTATGACTGTGGCAAGCAGGAGGCTGACAGCAAAGAGAGTGTGTATGTGTTTCTACAGATGTTCTAATGAACACTGATCTAACGGGAGTAACTGACTGTGACCTTTTTTTTTTTCTCGTTAGATAGTTGAGGGAGATATCCACCAGGGTGTACCGTCAAGATTTAACTATTTCATTACTAGCAAAAGTGGAAACAATTCATTCTTCATTTGCAAAGACAAAAAGTATTTGGTTGAAACTTGATTTTTTAAAATTAAAAACATTTTAGAAAAACACAGAAAAAATGATTATAATTACTGTGGTTCAGAGAAATACTATTGTGAATCAAATGGGAAATCATTTGTCCTAAAGCAGACTACTAATATTGATGTGAGTCATTTTAAATTTGAATTGCTCTTTCGTGTGTAGTATTACACAGTGTAATGATTAAGAAAATGGGCTGTGGGGTCAAGCTGACGTGGTTTTCTCTGCCAGCTCTGCCATTTCCAGCTGGACCCTTAAGCCTCTGTTTCTCCATCTTGGAAATGGGGGTAATAGAAATATTTACCTCAAAAAATTTTTGGGAAAAGATTAAATGAGATAATGTACATATAGTACTCAGCCAAGGAAGTATAAATTTTTATTTTCTAATAGTTATATAAAATTATGTCAAATAAATCTAACACAATTTACCCAATCTTTCACTATTTTTGGTCATTTAATCAGTTTCCATGTGGTGTAGATGATAGGCTGCAGTGACTAGGGGTAGGCAAATCTGGGTTTGGGTCTCAATTCTGTCACTAACTAGCTGAGTGACGTTTTTGAGCTTCAATTTTCTTATCTTTAAAACGAGAATGATACCCACCTTTTTATAAGGATTAATGATATAAAGTGTCTGGTATATTGAGTATACACAATTAATTTTGCCTAATGTTGGTGATGCTATAACTATATTTGTATAAGTGACTTTTCTTTTGCAAAATTTTAGGATATATTTTCAGGGTTGATTTTTTTTTTAAAACAGATATGTAGCTTAATCATTTGGTGTTTCTCATCATATGAAATGTTGGTCAGTTTTTAAAAAGCATCATCATCTCTTCTAGTTCCTTCTATGATGATTTTTTTGTTTGCCTGCAAAAAGGGTATTGTTTAGTTCTCTAATCTATTTATGGTGTTATATAATGATTATGGTACTTGAAATCACAGCAACAATAACGACACTTTCATAAAGTCGATGTATTGGATATCTTCAGTGTAAATACAAAATAAGAAATTCAAAATAGAAACCATGGGTGGATTTAGGCAAGTGTTTTAGCCTTTGAATTTTACTAACATCAAAAGACATGCAATTTGTAGCATAACGATTAGTTGCTGAATGGGTTAGTTGTCTCCTGAGGAGGCTGGAAATTAGTAACACATTTGGCAATGGGTTTTCAGACTCTGAGTTCTTGCCACACCGTTAGGAGAGCATTAGATTTGCAGTAATCTGTGCCAGAGTCCCTGATCTCCCAAAGTCCTCAGCATAGAAACTAAATACAAAATAGTGAACCCTGTTTGTTGGGCATCCACTATGTACAAAGTCATGTGGAGAGTTAGGGGAAAAAAAAATCAGACACAGGTCTTGCCTTTAAAGAACATATGTGATGGTAGGATTGTGGATGAATACACCTTACATTCTTCCCACATTCAACTTTTCTTTAAAGTTCTTAAAAGTTCATCAAGAAATCACAGTTATAGGTTATTCAGCCCATTCTTAAGCCTTGAGGCAGAATCAAAATCAAACTCCTACTAGAATATATTGATTTATTTCTCCCCAAATAAAAAAAAACACCATTGGACAATCAAAGAATACAAGTCAGCATAATTTCAGAGCAGAATATCCTTTATTTCACAGGGTAGATAAAAGACTTAGTAATGGAATATACTGACAGAGTAGTTGGACAAAAAAGGAAGCATCATTGGGAAAAAAAAAAAAGATTGAAAACAACTTTAAGCCCAATCCGTTTATTTTTACATTTACAGTGCATTTCAAGAAATATAGTGTACTTCTCGAGCATTTCTACCCCCATTTTATAAATGAAGAAACAATTTAAACTGCATTGTCACTTAATGAGTAACAAGTGTTTGAAATAAGGTCCGTGTCAACTTTTCATAGCATTAGGACAAGCATAGACAATTATTACTCTTAATAAATGGCTGATTTTTAAGGAAATAATATAAATAGAATTGTAAAGGGAGATGTTTGGCTTATTGAATGAGTTTCACATTAGGAGCAACTGAAACTGGCACAGAAGAGAAAAGAGGAAGGAAAAGGAAATATGTAGAAGGAAGCAATCTACAGTTAGTATGATGGATTGTCAAGAGAAGGACAGGACAAGTGACTTGACATTTTTTATTTAAAGCAATTAATTAAATATAGCCACTGGACCAGGATTACTAGTATCTTTCTATAAAAGGTTTGTGATCTCTGATTTAAGGTGGACTGTTTGCTTTAAAACAAAATGGGGAAAATTTTCAGAAGAGTTTTATAATGTTATGCAGGAAAAATTAACTTAAAATTTTTGTTTTTAGAGAAGGAAGGGAGTTTGTGATTCTTAATTTCTACCTTTGAGTATGGAAATCATGTTGGCAAAAAGAAATTTTATGTCTGTGCAGGTGTATGTTATGTTCTATACCTTGAGGCAGAATTGCAAATAAAGTGTTGAGAAATTGGAAGCTGGGGAAGCACTGTATTACCTCTTAAAGCCCATTTATTATTCCACAGTCGTGGGAATTTAGAATTAAAAATATCTGGGAAACAGCTCTAAAAATCTTATCTTTTA